GACACATAGAATAGCTTAAAATTCTTTTCATATTTGAAAACGTGTATAATGGGTAATATGTAAATGTTTCCTTATATAACAATACACACATTTTAAGAAATTTTGATCTTTTTTTTTCATAAATCAAAATGATTTTGTTCTTTACCACAACAGTGTACTTTCTGAAAAACATAAAAGAGAGTCAAAGGAACATAAATAGGTATCGAAAATACCAAGTGGCTCTTAAATAACAGGATAATTTATAAATACAGAATATTTTCTTACAATGAGTTTCTTTTTATTTTAAATTCAAACTTTTTTAGCGATAATCGCTCTTAAACGGGCAATATATTGTAGTGAAGCATTTTATTATTTTACACTAGTATTAACAGAGTATAATTTTTTTATGTTTATATTTTACTACTCTGTAAACTTCCCTTATCCTTTTATTTTGTTTATCATTCATAGTTTGTTCTGGCCTTGAATAAATTGCTGTGTCATCCTGAAGTTTGTCTTCCCTAATTTTCAACGCGGCAATATCTATTCTAATACAAATGAAAACACCAAAAGGCGAATGCCTCCTTTCACTAATAAATCAAACTTCTACTGTCCTTACTGCGATGAAAAAATATTGGGAGGGCTTCGCTCATCAGTGGTGAACCCTCTCAGTGAAATGGCCTTGTCCTTATTATTTACGGAGGAGCATTGCTCGATGCAAATATTTAAATGTAATTCTACTGTCCTAAAAGCTTATGTCCATAGTTTGCTTATATACCATTTCTAAGATTCCATCCTTCAGTGTAGCATATAAAAGTAGAATGATCCAATACAGTATTAGAGCTCTAAAGAAGCGGTCTGGTAGATTAAATTGGCGAATCCGCTGGGAGGGTTCACCACTGATGAGCTAAGCCCTTCCAATATTTTTTTCATCGCAGTAAAGACAGTAGAAGTTTGATTTATTTGTGAAAGGAGACCATCGCCTTTTGTTTTTTTTTTATTTGTGTTATATAGATGGCGCGATGTTGCTTTGTGTTAATATCTATTATAATTATTCAAATGTATTAATATACATAAATCAGTTAGCATCTTAACGGCGTTTATACACTGCGTGACATTGAGAATGGAACACCAAGAAATAGTGGCCAGAAAATTATGCAAATTTCAGGGTAGACGCGCCTAACCGAGTTATGCAAATGATGTAAAATGCGCAGCTCTCGTGCGCACATGGAGTAAGATATAAGGAAAGGAACTTGCAGAAAGAACAGTATCCGTGTCGTTATTTCTGCAAGGAAAATCATTTTAGAAATTTTGTTCTTGTGTCAAAAGACACGTGTAATAACAGAGAATGCCAGGTCATCGTAAACGGAGGCAGTTCAAGCAGACAGACGCTTTTACGAGGGGCATGGTGATCGGACTGAAAAGGGCAGGTTGGTCCATACGTCAAATCGCAGCTGATACACACCTTGGTGCGTCCACGGTGCACCGACTGTGGAGAAGATGGTTGGAACAAGGAAATGTGGCAATTTATAGGAATGTCGGTGCAACCAGAGTGACGTCAGCACGTGTGGATCGGCGTATCCTTCGACAAGCAGTGGCGGCCCCACAAGCCACTTGTACCGCCATCCTGCAACATGTGCAAGACACTCTAGATCATTCCATCTCGACCAGAACCATTTCCCGTCGATTGGTTGCTAATGGCTTGCACTCATGCCGTCCGCTAATTTGACCCCACCGAATAGGCGCCAACGTTTGGAATGGTGCCGGGCTAGATCGACGTGGATGACGGAATGGCACAGGGTCGTGTTCTCAGATGAGTCGCGTTTCTGCTTGTCCAGTGATAGTCGCCGTGTACGCGTGTGGCGTCGACGTGGAGAAAGGTCCAATCCGGCAGCAATTGTGGAACGCCCCACCGTGCGACAACGTGGAATCATGGTTTGGAGCGCAATCGCGTATGATTCCAGGTCACCTTTACTTCGTATTCAGGGCACTATGACGGCCCAACGATACGTTGATGATGTGCTACGACCGGTGACATTCCCTACCTTCAGGGGTACCCAATGCCCTTTATCAGCAGGATAACGCCCGACCGCACACTGCTCGCATTAGCCAACAAGCTCTGCAAGATGTACAGATGCTTCCCTGGCCACCGTACTCTCCTGATCTCTCACCAATCGAGCACGTCTGGGACATCATTGGACGCCGTTTGCATGCCTTGCCACAGCCGCGTTCAGAAGACGAACTGTGGCAAATGGTTCAGAGGGAATGGAGAGCCATCCCTCAGGACGCCATCCATACTTTGATTGACTCTCTACCTAGACGTGTTGCTGCGTGCATCGCCGTCCGCGGTGGTCCTACTTGCTACTAAGCCGACGCCGTTCCCGCTCTTTATTATGACTATCATTTTGAAATAAAGATCACTTATTGTTCGTCCCTGTCTCTCTCTGTCTGCCGAGTTTCATCACTTTCTGGCCACTATTTCTTGGTGTTCCATTTTCAATGTCACGCAGTGTATGTTTATATGTACTACTGTATAAGGGCTGAGATGCCAGAAAGCTTGAGATCACGTTTAATAAAGATAGCAGAAACTCATCTCCAGAAATCTGTGGCATTTGTTTGATTGAAGAGAACTATTTAAACAGGCACACAAAATTCAAAACTCTCAATTTTATGTATATCTCTTACAATTGTCTTGATTAGGGTTTCTTGTATATACACTTCATTATCAAATTGATTGTGATTAGCTTTTACTTTTATTTATCTTCATTTACAGAGACTCCGTGGTAAATCCAGGTATAATGAATTTCTTTTCCTCCAATTTACCCAGAATAATCTATTTATTAGCTTGATTGTGTCTTTATATGATTTTTCCTGTATATAAATTTCATATTGTAGTGTAGAAATCAAGTCTTTGTATATCTGAAGGCGTGAAAGTATTTATTGATGACGTCACGGCGACTAGTCGACAATTATCAACAAACTAACCAAACTATCTACAGCTAGAGAATATCGCGAAAGCAAGCTTGGCAACTAAATAATGAATTAGAAAATGTAAAATTTTTTAAATCTGCTTCCAAATATTTTAATTGAATAATAAATTATTTCTTCGCCACAATATTACCATTAAGGTGCTATTACTGTTTTTCCTGTATGTATCCTACATTTCTGCTCGGAGTGACAATCCCACCATTGTTGTCCCCCCTACATTTCTGCTTGGAGAATCTGTATAAGACTAGAAGGTCTTGATTAAAGCTTTTTGTCGTTGTTGTATAAATCTCCTTAAATCACAAATAAAAGTCATAAAAATACCGAATACTAAATTGTAATGTCAAATTATTTGACAAACATAAGTAATTTTAATCTTCTCAGTTATACGGGAAGAATGTTGTTAAGTGAACTGATCTTCCACGTCATTGGACGAATGTGGCCATGTTTGCATATAAAAGAGGGTTGAAATGGGATGCGAGGAGTGTAGGAGAAGTGATCTTGTGGAGACGTTTAAAGCGTTCTCTGTGTGCTTGTCTGGTGATGTCCTCGCATACCTATGTAACCCCGGTCCGCTCCTTATCAACACTGCAATAAAAGTTAAGTATTGTTTTTTGGTATTTGGTCATTATTTACATGATAAAAAGATTAGGAAAGGATTATTTCAATGATGATGTTCTTCCCCACCGCAATAGGGTCCGCCTCCAGGCGATGACGGGGTCCCCGATGACAGCCCGACCTGCACGAAGTATCTGTAAATTCTTGATTTGGCTGCTGCGAGGATGGCCAGCTGGTCGTCCATCAGGCCTGCCCCGAAGATCCAGGACTGGAGGTCAGGGTGTCTTCCGATATATAACTAATCGAGAGGTTTTATTTACGTCATTTTTATTTTGTTGTATTTCTGTGTGTTTTCTCTGTGTTTAGTTACTTCAGGCCCTAGTAAATTGGAATTTTATGTTAACCGGTACTAAGTAATTTTTTTTCAGTAATATTTTAGCCGCAGAGACAAGCTCAGAGGAGCGGTGTAAGTGACTATCATAGAGAGAGAGAGGGTCCCGCCGCGGAAATGCCAGGACCTCCCTCCCTACAGGAAGGACGTGAGGACGCAAGCGACCTCCCTGAGGGCCACCAAATTGTCGTAGATCCCTACCGCTCTCACACCGACACAAAGTCCTCAACTTCGTGGACAAAGTTCAAATACAACAAAGGGTGTTGTTTTGGGGATAAAGGTTAGTTGGGATAGTTTCTTTAACTGAATAATCTCTAACGCCTCAATCAGACGATACCTGTTACACTCACCATTTTTGATACCCATCCGAGAGAATCTGCTAGATTGCAAAACTTGACGATAGATAGAGCATATTCTTCTTTGACGTGAGACTTTTTTGATGAAATAAATATTTAACACAAAGCAATAACGTACCATCTATATACACGTATGTAAAATGCTCTTCCGCAAACAATAAGACAAGGCCGGTTAGGCATAAATTTGCACAAGGAAGAGCATTGCTCGATGCAAATATTTAAATGTAATTCTACTGTACTGAAAGCTTATGTCCATAGTTTTCTTGAAAACCTTTTATGAGATTCCATCCTTCAGTGCTGCGTATATAAGCAGAATCGTCCAATACAGTCTTAGAGCTCTGAGAAGCGGTCTGGTGGATTAAATTGGCGAAACCGCTGGGAGGGTTGAGCTAAGCCCTCCTAATATATTTTTTCATTGTAGTAAGGACAGTAGAAGTTGGTATTGTGTATAAAAGAAACATTCGTGCTTTTAAATTCTTTCATTTTATAGATAAATATTTGTTTTCATAATACAAGTTGTCCCAAAAGTTCGTAAACACTTGTAAAAAAATTAAAATACCATTATTCACCATAATATTATTTACCGTTACGTATAATGTATTTGTATTAAGTATAAAGTAATTGTATTATGTATTCGCCGTTATGTATAACTAGCCGAATGACCCGGGCAACGCCCGTGTTTTACCCGATTGAATGTTTTGATTCAAATACTATTTGTTACAATTATAAATTGTGGTCATGTGGCCTAGTGGTCATGGCATCTGCCCGGTATGCGGAAGGTCGTGGGTTCGATTCCCATCCCTTGACACTTTTTTTATTTTATCCATTCTTACCAAAATCTATCCGTGAACTTCACACAGTGAACTTCACACAGACAGAATAAGGCAATTATATAAGTAGATGTCTTTGTATTAAGTATAAAGATATTGTATTATGTATTCGCCGTTATGTATAATGTCTTTGTATTATGTATAAAGTAATTTTATTATGTATTCGCGCCGTTATTTATAATGTCTTTGTATTATGTATAAAGTAATTTTATTATGTATTCGCGCCGTTATTTATAATGTCTTTGTATTATGTATAAAGTAATTGTATTATGTATTCTTATGTGTATTCGCCAAGTAATAAAAAACACTAACTTTTGGGACAACCTTATAATAATCATACTAAAGGTGGAAAATCAATCGTCAATAATAGATGACTTGCCAAAAACAATGTAGCAGCTGCAATAACCCCCATGTTTATAATCCCCCAGAAGGTGTAGGTGGCAGCTTTACACCGGATTGGCAGAAAATATGCAATTAATCAATAAAATTTGTAACAAATAAATTTACTAACATCATGTTTCTTTTTAATAATACAGTAGAACTTGGATAATTCAAACATCTTTAATCCGAATATTTATCTTGGTCCTTAGAATTTCCTATAAGTATAATTTCCGTTTTTATAATTCGAATTTTTGGATAATTCTTTTTTTTTTGGTCCCTTGGGCTTCGAATTATCAAAGTACGATTGTTAATAAAATATTTGCTAATATAATATTTAATGTTATGAATATTCGAAACTATTATAGACGCGTATGATTCCCCTGAAAATCAAACAATTCCCACTGCCCTTACTGCAATGGAAAAAATTAGAGGGAGGGCCTGGCTCATCAGTGGTGAACCTTCCCAGCGGTTTCGCCAGGGGAATCATACGCGTCTATAATGGTTTCGAATATTCATAACAGATGGCGCGCAATGCATCATAATAAAATAATATTTAATGTAATTATTAAAAGGAAACACGTTACCAGTTAATTTAATTGTTACAAATTTTATCAATAGATGCCAATTAATTTATAAATTGAATCCAACCTTTCAATAAATTGCATTAGGAAAAAAACATTGAAAAAATATTTTTATCATCAAGAGCTTTCTGGTCTTTTGACGCCCATCTACAAGAGATTAGTGAATACAACGCCGCCTATCAGAGAAACTAAGTTCTATTTTATACTAGATGTATTTTACTTAACTATGGTAAAGTTTATTTCAAAAGGATAAAGAATATAACAACAACAAAAAGCTTTATTAAGACCTTTCAGCCTTATACAGATTCTCCGAGTAGAAATGTAGAGTACATGCAGGAATAACAGTAATTGTACCAGTAATCAGCAATGTACAACAACAAAAAGCTTTATTAAGACCTTTCAGCCTTATACAGATTCTCCGAGTAGAAATGTAGAGTACATGCAGGAATAACAGTAATTGTACCAGTAATCAGCAATGTACAACAACAAAAAGCTTTATTAAGACCTTTCAGCCTTATACAGATTCTCCGAGTAGAAATGTAGAGTACATGCAGGAATAACAGTAATTGTACCAGTAATCAGCAATGTACAACAACAAAAAGCTTTATTAAGACCTTTCAGCCTTATACAGATTCTCCGAGTAGAAATGTAGAGTACATGCAGGAATAACAGTAATTGTACCAGTAATCAGCAATGTACAACAACAAAAAGCTTTATTAAGACATTTTAGTCTTATACAGATTCTCCGAGTAGAAATGTAGGGTACATGCAGGAATAACAGTAATTGTACCGGTAATCAGCAATGTACAACAACAAAAAGCTTTATTAAGGCATTTTAGTCTTATACAGATTCTCCTAGTAGAAATGTAGGGTACATGCAGGAATAACAGTAATTGTACCGGTAATCAGCAATGTACAACAACAAAAAGCTTTATTAAGGCATTTTAGTCTTATACAAATTCTCCGAGTAGAAATGTAGGGTACATGCAGGAATAACAGTAATTGTACCAGTAATCAGCAATGTACAACAACAAAAAGCTTTATTAAGACATTTTAGTCTTATACAGATTCTCCGGGTAGAAATGTAGAGTACATGCAGGAAAAACAGTAATTGTACCACTAAACAGCAATGTACAACAATAAAAAGCTTTATTAAGGCATTTTAGTCTTATACAGATTCTTCGAGTAGAAATGTAGGGTACATGCAGGAATAACAGTAATTGTACCGGTAATCAGCAATGTACAACAACAAAAAGCTTTATTAAGGCATTTTAGTCTTATACAGATTCTTCGAGTAGAAATGTAGGGTACATGTAGGAATAACAGTAATTTTACCAGTAATCAGCAATGTACAACAACAAAAAGCTTTATTAAGGCATTTTAGTCTTATACAGATTCTCCGAGTAGAAATGTAGGGTACATGCAGGAATAACAGTAATTGTACCGGTAATCAGCAATGTACAACAACAAAAAGCTTTATTAAGGCATTTTAGTCTTATACAGATTCTCCGAGTAGAAATGTAGGGTACATGCAGGAATAACAGTAATTGTACCAGTAATCAGCAATGTACAACAATAAAAAGCTTTATTAAGGCATTTTAGTCTTATACAGATTCTCCGAGTAGAAATGTAGGGTACATGCAGGAATAACAGTAATTGTACCAGTAATCAGCAATGTACAACAATAAAAAGCTTTATTAAGACCTTTCAGCCTTATACAGATTCTCCGAGTAGAAATGTAGGGTACATGCAGGAATAACAGTAATTGTACCAGTAATCAGCAATGTACAACAACAAAAAGCTTTATTAAGACATTTTAGTCTTATACAGATTCTCCGAGTAGAAATGTAGGGTACATGCAGGAATAACAGTAATTGTACCGGTAATCAGCAATGTACAACAACAAAAAGCTTTATTAAGACATTTTAGTCTTATACAGATTCTCCGAGTAGAAATGTAGGGTACATGCAGGAATAACAGTAATAGTACCAGTGATCAGCAATGTACAACAACAAAAAGCTTTATTAAGGCATTTTAGTCTTATACAGATTCTCCGAGTAGAAATGTAGGGTACATGCAGGAATAACAGTAATTGTACCAGTAATCAGCAATGTACAACAATAAAAGGCTTTATTAAGGCATTTTAGTCTTATACAGATTCTCCGAGTAGAAATGTAGGGTACATGCAGGAATAACAGTAATTGTACCAGTAATCAGCAATGTACAACAACAAAAAGCTTTATTAAGACATTTTAGTCTTATACAGATTCTCCGAGTAGAAATGTAGGGTACATGCAGGAATAACAGTAATTGTACCGGTAATCAGCAATGTACAACAACAAAAAGCTTTATTAAGACATTTTAGTCTTATACAGATTCTCCGAGTAGAAATGTAGGGTACATGCAGGAATAACAGTAATAGTACCAGTGATCAGCAATGTACAACAACAAAAAGCTTTATTAAGGCATTTTAGTCTTATACAGATTCTCCGAGTAGAAATGTAGGGTACATGCAGGAATAACAGTAATTGTACCAGTAATCAGCAATGTACAACAATAAAAGGCTTTATTAAGGCATTTTAGTCTTATACAGATTCTCCGAGTAGAAATGTAGGGTACATGCAGGAATAACAGTAATTTTACCATAATCATCAATGTACAACAACAAAAAGCTTTATTAAGACATTTTAGCCTTATACAGATTCTCCGAGTAGAAATGTAGAGTACATGCAGGAATAACAGTAATTGTACCAGTAATCAGCAATGTACAACAATAAAAAGCTTTATTAAGGCATTTTAGTCTTATACAGATTCTCCGAGTAGAAATGTAGAGTACATGCAGGAATAACAGTAATTTTACCATAATCATCAATGTACAACAACAAAAAGCTTTATTAAGGCATTTTAGTCTTATACAGATTCTCCGAGTAGAAATGTAGAGTACATGCAGGAATAACAGTAATTTTACCATAATCATCAATGTACAACAACAAAAAGCTTTATTAAGGCATTTTAGTCTTATACAGATTCTCCGAGTAGAAATGTAGAGTACATGCAGGAATAACAGTAATTGTACCAGTAATCAGCAATGTACAACAATAAAAAGCTTTATTAAGGCATTTTAGTCTTATACAGATTCTCCGAGTAGAAATGTAGAGTACATGCAGGAATAACAGTAATTTTACCATAATCATCAATGTACAACAACAAAAAGCTTTATTAAGGCATTTTAGTCTTATACAGATTCTCCGAGTAGAAATGTAGAGTACATGCAGGAATAACAGTAATTGTACCAGTAATCAGCAATGTACAACAATAAAAAGCTTTATTAAGACATTTTAGTCTTATACAGATTCTCCGAGTAGAAATGTAGGGTACATGCAGGAATAACAGTAATTTTACCAGTAATCAGAAATTTACAACAACAAAAACTTTATTAAGGCATTTCAGTCTTATACAGATTCTCCGAGTAGAAATGTAGGGTACATGCAGGAATAACAGTAATTGTACCGCTAATCAGCAATGTACAACAATAAAAAGCTTTATTAAGGCATTTTAGTCTTATACAGATTCTCCTAGTAGAAATGTAGGGTACATGCAGGAATAACAGTAATTGTACCGGTAATCAGCAATGTACAACAACAAAAAGCTTTATTAAGGCATTTTAGTCTTATACAGATTCTCCGAGTAGAAATGTAGAGTACATGCAGGAATAACAGTAATTGTACCAGTAATCAGCAATGTACAACAATAAAAAGCTTTATTAAGGCATTTTAGTCTTATACAGATTCTCCGAGTAGAAATGTAGAGTACATGCAGGAATAACAGTAATTTTACCATAATCATCAATGTACAACAACAAAAAGCTTTATTAAGGCATTTTAGTCTTATACAGATTCTCCGAGTAGAAATGTAGAGTACATGCAGGAATAACAGTAATTGTACCAGTAATCAGCAATGTACAACAATAAAAAGCTTTATTAAGACATTTTAGTCTTATACAGATTCTCCGAGTAGA